CGGCGTGTTCTCTTGCTGTATATCTCTCAGGTAGTCCACTCAGCACAGAGCGGAGCAAGGCAACGAAACTTAAAATAAGAAGCAGCATTTTATGGCACGCTATGCATGGGGCCACCTTGAGGGGGTTTCCCGACATGTTATTTCAGTAAATTAAAGGGTGTTTCATGTTGTCGTTGCTGTGGACCTTCTTAATACCTTGGAAAATGCCGTTTAATACTTTTTAATAGCCTTAATTTTCACTAAATTGATTTATCAACTTTTAATACTTTTTAAGACCCCGCGGACACCCTGATTTTTAGACACATCCCGCGATCGACTGGTTGGGCACCCCTGTTCTACAGTATTGTTGTTTTATAGTTGTTTGTTAATGTATACAACCCAATTTGTGTTCTTTGAAATTGAAAAGGATATTGCATTGTGTTTGTTACTTTCGTTGCATATGTCTTAAGTGTAATTTGGCTTGGCTTCCTATTTTTTATGGACGTGCTTTTATTTTGAAGGAGAGGTAGCGCTGTTGAGAGGAAGTTGTTGTTGTTGCTATGGAAACAACGTCACGGAGATTAATGGAGAAAAGTAATATCTACATATAGGGGTGGGCGATATGACGATATATATCGTCGTGATGATATTAGGTCTCCACGATATGCTTTTTCAGAGATATCGTATCTATCGTGATAAAAAAAAAACAATTGAAAAAAAAAACAATAAAAAAAAACATGTGAAAGACATGCTCTAAAGCTGTCTAGTCAGGATTCAGACAGTATTGCACTTTATTTATTGTCTTGTTTGATTCTGTTGGCTTATATTTTATTTGATCAATAAGGTATTTATATAGTTATTGCACTTCAAGTATAAAGTTTACATTTTAATTGATTGGCACTGACTTTTCCTCATTGATGTTTTATGTTTTACTTAGTTATGTTTTACCCTCCTTTTCATGTTTATTGATGTTCACCGCTAGTGCTACCTCAGAAAGTTCATTTTTATACTGAGAAACTGTGCCTTGAAGCCATATCAAAATGTTGAATTGTTCATTCAGGGATTCAGTTCAGAAATAAAACCAGCTTGAAATGCTATTTTGGTCTGTTACTCCTTGTTTTAGTTTCTGTTACCTTGTAGGTGCTTGTACTGTTAAGTAACTTGAAAAATAACCATAATAACCAACATGAAAAAATATCGTGATATATATCGTCTATCGTGATACTGCTTGAAAAATATCGTGATAATATATTTTTCAATATCGCCCACCCCTATCTACATATAAAGACGGAGAAAGAAAACGATAAAGTTTATGGTTAAGTTTTAGCACCCCCCGAAGAGGCACAAGCTCTTACGTTGATATTGGAGATTTCAATAAATTCAATCAAAAACGGGGAAAAAAAAACGAATATCCGAATAACGAAATTGAAACCCGACTAGTACTCCAACGAACGAATATTCGGTTACAGCCCTAATAGCAAATGTGATCCTCTAATTGGAGAAGCATAATTTAAAGAAATTGATATTCTATATTCAACATTAGATAAACCATAAGTAGATGTTCAGGTAAGTGTGGCTAATAGGAATAATTATTTGAGTTAATTTGGTACAGATCTACGGGGCCCCTAAAGGGACATGAAAAAAGACATCGGGATAATTATCCCGATGTCTTTTTTGTTGTTGTTGAGAAAGTTACCGGTGCGTCAAGGAGGAAGTGGAGCACACAGGAGACAACCTTTTCATTGCAGACTGTTATGTTTACGTGGAAATGACAGTGCATACATTATTTGAGATATATTTCAAACTAAGACTTAAAATTGTATGGACATGTCGGCCAGGGGTGTAGCGCTATTTGTTTAAGCACCGGACTGGCAAAACAGGAGAGTCTGTGAACCAATCTGCTTTGATCTATGACTTAATGTCTGTGACTCTCAGAGTTGCTGCCCGCAGCTGTTTTTTTTTTACACACACACACACACACACACACACACACACACACACACACACACACACACACACACACACACACACACACACACACACACACACACACACACACACACACACACACACGGGGAAGTAATCAGGCAGTTCGATGTGTGTGTAGACGTGTGTGCGGGGCGAACTGGCCATCTGTAGAATCTGGAGAATCACAGAACGGCCGGTCGCCAAGGGCCGTTGACGGCCGGCTCGGTTCGCTGACGGCCAGCACCGCCCTTAATTTTTTACGTTTTTAAACAGCATGATTGAAGTTGCGCTGAAAGGTGACAGAGGTCCACCGTTTCCCCGCAGCGAGGCTCCCCCCACGTTGACAGTTCACTAGCACCTCCCTCGTTGACAATTCACTAGCACCCCCCCCTTCAAATAATGTATGCAATGTGACTTCCCCACGTAAACATAACAGTCTGCAATGAAATGGTGGTCTCCGCCTGTGTGCTACACTTCCTCCTTGGTGCAGCAGTAACTTTCTCCAAAAAAATAAATAAGGTTAGTTTCTCGTGCCTTCCTTTCCAGGTTTTTACGAAAGTCTTTGAATATTTGCCTACATTTTCCTTTTCAGATTGTTTAACATTTTGAGAATTGTTTAACTTTTCCCTTTCAGATTTTGAAAGGACATCATGATTGATAGTTTAAGTAATGTAATGATGTTACCATGCATAGTCTTTTGATTGAATATTGAATGAAGTCAGAGTAACGGTACGTCCACACAGCAGCGCTAAAAAAAAAAATCATGGAGGTGGGCGTATCTGAAGCTTGGGGATTTTTTGCGAGCAACGCGACCAACAACCAATCACATGAATCTCCCGCCCCCGACATACAAAGCAATAGCAATGTTAAAACGAAGTAAACTGGATATAAAATCCCCAAACAGGCGAAAATCTACGAGTTTCACCCACGGTCTCTGCCACCTCCCTCCATGCCTGGTTCCTCCGGTTTGTATCCCGGTAAGTTAATAGGGACTGGTCATAAAGAACCGGGTGATTTGCAAGTTGCAACACACAGAGTAAAGCTCTGCCCCTCATGTGCTGTATAGGCTGGCACGACAGGCTGTTCAATGGGGCTGATGTGTTGTGTAGATTCTGCCAGAAGGAAAATCACAGTCAAACTCCTTATGAAGCGGTGAGCTGCTGCTCCACATTGCTTTTGTTCCCGACTGCAACGCTGGTCCCGCAAATCAAGCAAGAACGTGATTGGTCGATATTCATTGTGGGGGTGGGGGGGGAAGGGTGTTGGATAGATAGAGTTGTAGTAACTAGATAGAGTTCGCTATGATTGACGTTTCGTTTATAAATAGGGTAGATTCTTTTAATTACATTTCCTTTTTGTCTATTTTTTACATTTTGGATTTGCTTGGCGAGCTATTTTTAGAACATGCCCGGCAGGCGACTCACATTGCCCCTGCGGGTGACTAAGTGCCCGCGCGGGCACCGTGTTGGCTACCCCTGCTTTAGGGGCTCCATACAGATCAGTTGTAGCATTTACAAATGTATGAATTCAAGTTTAAAGAATGCTTAATCCTTCCTTTCTAGGTTTTTACAAAAGTCTTTGAATATTTGCCTAACTTTTCTCTTTCAAATTTTGAAAGGACATCATGATTGATTGTTTAAAGGAGACCTATCATGCTATATTTAAATGATATAGTGTATGACCATACCTATATAAGGTATATTTATACATTTTATTTTTCAAAATACCAAACGGATCATTTTTTAGCCATGCCTCGTTTCGCTCATTTTCGCTCTATTCCAAGCCTGTCTTTGAAAATTCTGAGCAGCAGCTGACCACGCCCCCCTGCAGAAGAGCGGGGCATGCGCCGGCGAGAGTCACGTTACCATGCTTGCTGTGATTACGTGTGGAATAAACATGTCATCTCAGAGCAATGCATGTGTTCAAGCATATTATGAATTTGATCCAGAGACTGACCCTGAAGCAGCGGAGGTTTTGGTGGAGGTGGAAACATCTCGGTTGCAGCAGGACGTTTCTGAATGGTTAGTTGACAAGCTGTTGTCCCTATTTATTTTACTCTGTTACGATGCTTGCTACTTATTCCGTTCATATGTTGGCTAATTAGCAAGAATGCAATGTGTACAGTTTGTAACTTATAGTTTGTAACGCAAAAACAGCAATACATATTTATAAAGGGAGACATTCATATTTTCAGCATATATACAATGGCCTCATTGCGTTTATTAATAGTTTACAGCCCTTTTCTTCCAACATCGTGCAACAACCGTTGGAAAGTTCAATAACTTAGGGTGATAAAAAGTATAACTCCAACAACACCTCAGTTGTCAGCAATGTGTGTAGTTTCATGTGTTTTTAAAAGCTCAGTTATTGACTTCTTTCTACAGGTGTACATGTGCAAATTGCGCCACGATGCCTTCTGAACCGGAGAATGTGTGCTGCATGGAGATACCACAGGTAACATTTTTGATAGCTTCACTAAGTTGTCTGTTTAGAGAATACATTTTTAACATTTTAACAACGTCATTCAATATATCTTTATCACACTAGGTGTCAAGACGGATGCAGGAACTTGAGGACTCTGTAACCTGTATGGTGGACCATCCTGGATTGGAGCCTGTGTGCCTGAATGTGTTCTCCCTGCAGAATGCATTGAATATTTACAGAGCTGAACATGGTGGACTACAGTTGAGGCAAATAGAGCAGTGAGTGGTTTGTTTGTTTTGACTGAAATTGTAAAACGAATGCTAATATTGTTCATGGAAATAAATACTGGTGTATATGGCTTTATGCAATCTTTCATTGTACATGTACTATTATATATATATATATATATATATTATTACACAGCAATGGCATAACACACCCAAGTGTACGACAAAAAAAGTCCACACACAACCTTATGCTTTTGAAATCAGAATATTCTTTACCCATCCAAACATGAATAATCACGACACATTTGATATCAACTCTGAACTTTATTGTCAAAATGAACGGTTCTTTGAACCCATAAAAAAAAACTAAATGTACTTGTATTATATATAAATGACACTAAATATTTTTTTTAATGATTTCAGGCGTCACAGGTATCTAGCCTACAGAAGCTTTGTGAGCTGGTGCTGGGGCTTCCTTGGACGCAGGATCAGAGTGGTGATTCCGGCCTGCGTTGTCCTCAGGATTCGCAGAGAGTTTCCTGATCCGCGAAATATCTATGTTGGGTTCAGACAGCAGCCAAATTGAACCGAGTAGCATACCCGGAGATGACCTCCTCCCTGTCAGGTCGCTCATATTGGGAACACAGGTCCTCTGGGATGGGTATCTTCAGAAGCTCCTGTGTGAATGGTGCAGGGTCCACAAAGACTTGGTCGAAGATGAGGTCCATCAAGTTGGCCACGTAGCCTGTGCAATGTTAAAAAAAGCACAACAAAAAATGTGGTTTACATTAGTATATGCATGTACAAAACTGAAAGTTCTTTTTAATTTATTTATTTTATATTTGTAAATAGTTGTATAATAAATATTTTAAACACTTACAGAATGTGGGGTCAGTCTTTACTGGTTTTGCTCTGCATTCTCCCTTCCTGGCCTTTGGGAACTGCAGTTTATACAGAGGCTTTCCAGTGGATGTAGTGGCTTGTGCACGCTCAGCGTTTTCATTGTAGTGCAGGGCTGCCAGGTACAGTCTTTCATTTCCGCCATGAGTAAAAAAAAAAATGTAAATAATAGCAAAGGATGTACAAATTGTCACTAATTAGTAAGTAACTATGGTTTATTTTACCTGCACAACATTCCAAGAAATGGAAACACAACATTCTTTGGAGCAAAGCGCAGGATGACGGCATGGAATGACTCCAAAGATTAAGTCTGGTGGTGTGGGCTGAGTTTGGCCACAGCTTTCAAAATCCTCTTGGTTGAGAGAATTGTCTCCAGCTTGTGAAAGGCCGGCGTTCCTAAGAATTCCTAAGTCATATTTGAATTGTCATGCTTTATAGATTGTGTCTGACAACATCCTGTATTCAATAGTTGTCCCTTACAAATATTTATAGAGGAGTAATGTAATATGGTTTATGAACAACATACCTGCAGCCATCCATTGGTATTGCGCAATGCGCAGTGGATGAAGGCACTTGGGGAACAGGGGGTCATCATGAGAGTGGATATCCTGCACGTGGTTCAGGATGGAAGTCCATTTGGCCACTCTCTCAGGCCCGGTGGTGGAGGTTGCTGCAGTCCAGTATATGTGGTTTCTTATACTCTTCACCCACCCTCGAAGTTTTTCGCAGTCCTTCTTTTTTGCAGCCTTCTCCAGTTGCTTAGAAATCTCTAATAAATACATTTAACATGTAGTTAATATACATACAAGTTTACTCAAAATATTATTATACTAATGTGATTGTAGGAAGCCGGGTTTGTGTCTAAATAAAATAATGATTGTATTTACAATCGATTTATTTACATGGAAATTAATATAAAGAAAAATACCTTTTTCTATGTGCCACACATCAAAGAATTGGGTGATGCTGCTTTCCCTTAGGAATTTCTGAATTTGCAGATGTCTGTCCGTGACAATACAGTCCAGAGTCACACCACGTTCCTTTAACAACTCCAGACTCCTTTTCAGGCCCTCTAACTCCATGTGGTAGCTTCCACCAACCTCATTGCTCTGTTATGACACATACAAATAACCATTGATACACACATTTTAAATATAACGTGCAAACAGTGTTAAAGAAAAAAACATTGATATTTAATTTCACCCCACTTACCTGAACCAACTGGAGGTCAACGACTTTGTTGTTCTTCAGGTCCATCATAGTGTAGCTTCCGAACTTTGCAGAGTGGCCTGTGAAAATATGTTTTACAGTAATTACTTTTCTCTGCGGATGGTGAATTTGTATTTTTGCTTGTAGTGTTTAACATATGTTTTTCAGGAACCATTAATTGAACAAATCACACATAGTGAAACCCCTTTCTGAAATGTAAAATGTGAATTATATAAAAAATACATACCTGGGGAGTCAGCCCTCATATCACCACCAACTATCACTTTCTCCTCTGCATGGAGCTTCTGTAGCATGCCTTCCTGTGATTTTTGCCAGTAAGAAACAATCGCTGGCTCAATGAACATCCTGGCATGCCTTCGGAAGGTGTTGTATTTGCATAGCTGCATATTCATTGCTTTGAAGACCTAATGGTTGAAAGAAAACCGCAAGAATACATTTTAATCTCAAAGATCACCTGTAGATGTGTCAATGAGGAGAACCTGGAAAGTGCAAATGAGCTGCCCTTTTTTTAAACAGGGAAAGAGCTGAACATGTCATTAGGGGTGCTTACTCTACAGTGCCCCTTTCACATCTCTTCTCTTTCTCCACACCACCCTCCCAAAAGATCTTTACATATTAGCATGGGTCGTTACCTAACAGTGCCCTATTCTCACCTTTTCTCACTCTTGTTATTGTTACCTTGTCCCATCTTATTCAACAACATTTGCATTTTCAAACATTGGCAAAACAATCTTCTGCAGTTAATTTACCTTTGAAAGTTTGTAGAAAGATGCTCCGTTGACATATGTTGCAACTGATAGCTGCAGGTTTCCAACTGGAGTACTCCCAAGAACAGGCTGGCTATTCCAGTTTCTTGTAAACTGACAATGGGGGCACAGCTGCTGCACTGATATGAATGTACCGATCTTTCTGGTTTGTACATCACACACACGCTTGCACACAGGACATGATTCAAAAAGCTCCATGAGGCAGGTCTCATACACGATGTATGTGTTGATCGTCTGGGGGGGGTTTTGTTCTTGACCACTAAAACAAAAAAATAGAAGTTAAGATCCATCACACAGATTGTTGCTTTAGAGATCTTTGGTGTTTCCCTATTATCAATGTTTGAATTATATACAGCAAAAAATACAATACATAGACAAACTCACACATAGTGATATTTCAGTAACTTACGACATGGCTGTTGTTTCTGTAGCATTTGTTATGGATTCTGCTGGATCATAAGTTGCATCCTGGCCTTCGGAAAACACCAAAGAAGAGCTTCCCTCAAATGGATCTTCGTATTCCTCTTCAAGATCCACACGGGGCCTCTTTGGTGGTCTCTTTAAGGGGGTGGATGTTAAAAAGGGCACTGGCACTTCCAACGGAAGTGTTTCGACATCAACGCTTCTGCAGGGAATTTTAGCCTGGACAGCTGTAACATAATTGTATTTGACATTAAAAACAAAACAAAAGATAAAACAAAAATATTTTACAACAATTAGAAGCACACAAATTAAAGGCTACAACATCAGAATGTCAAGATGTATCCAAAGAACATTTGAAAAACGTGCTTCTAACCTGTACTTCGATGTGAACCAAGAGTCCTCGAGGATAGCTGTGTACGAACAGTACGGTACTTGGGTGGGTCAGTCTGACATGCAGAATCTGTCATCACAGGTAATCTGCTGGTAGCATGTGAGGTGCTGGCCTGTAAAGAAGAAAACAAAATCATCTCAATTTAGTATTCAGGATGAGAAAATACTATTTGGATAAATATCGTCTGAAATCCCAAAAGATGGGGCTTAAAACTCTCTATTTAGCAAAGCTCTTTGCTTAGCCTTTTCCAATCTGAGGTAGTTTTGAACCGTAACGTGCATGCTGTGTTTCTGACTCAATACAGATGATATGTTGGAGGGGCTGAGCTCAGTAGACTGACTGTAATGAGTGCTAGCCACTAATTAGCCTGTTGCTAGGTAAGGCCTCGTCAACAACAACAGACCAACGGGGCTTTAGTTCTGTTTTACTCATGGTGTGTGTCCCCCCTCACATACATACACAGTGTTGTATCCTAACACATCCCCATTTATATTCATGTGCGTAAACAAGTAAACACACAAAAGCTTTTACATATAACGCTGGAAAAAACGGCATGTCTCATTAGCGTAGCGTAGCTTAGCTTACAGATCTGATCGTTCTTACAGACTACAATCACAAAAGCTTTTACATATAACGCTGGAAAAAACGGCATGTCTCATTAGCGTAGCGTAGCTTAGCTTACAGATCTGATCGTTCTTACAGACTACAATCACAAAAGCTTTTACATATAACGCTGGAAAAAACGGCACTTACCTACAGAAGATTACGTTTGTTATTATAACTTACTCAATATGATTTTAGAGGATACAAAATACTAATAAATAGGAGAATAAATACTTGTGTTACCGGCTAGGGCGTGGCTTTACAGCCTTCACACAGATGGCCATTACGGCAGTATGTCTGAACATGTTAGCAAATGCCTGATAATTAAAATAAAAGACAAAGCAAAGACTGCGGAGCGTACAATATAAAATGTTATAAAAACATATAAACACCTAACCGATTACTATTTGGGTTTGAGGCGACATTGATACGGCGAAGCTACATGCTACATGCTACATACTACAAGCTAGAGATAGCTTTATCAGGAAAAACACCGCTAAATAAAAACTTACAGCTTCAAAATTGGATGTGTCCTCACTGGCCTGCTCCCGGATGGTTGGTATTGATCCCGGGTTTAGCATTAGCTTGGAGGCATATCCGTGTTGGACTTGAGAGAAGTTCATAAACATGTCCGTGGTAAAATGTTTGGAACACACAAACAGAAATCTGCCGTGGTCTTCTGGCACATGTCCCTTGAAAATGAAGTCTAGCCACAGATTATTTTCTTTTTCCACTGATGGCATTGCATGCAGTCCCCCTTCTCGAGTCTTGCAGCCAACAACAGCACAAAGTTTAACTCGCTTAGACATCCTGGCAAGAGCAGACAAAAACACAGATGTGACTGGAGTTGATTTAGCCTGCCGATAGCCTATATGCGAATGAGAGGTTTGGCAGTGGCCGTGGCTCATTCCCCTGATAGGTGGATAGTTGACCAATAAGCGGAGCACGTCTCTTTGTGACGTAGGAAAGTGTTGAAATCTGGATCCGTTTTTTTCAGATCTGTTTCAGCCCCTTTTTCAGAGATTTGGCGAAGGAGGAAAATAGAGAGGGTTGTGTTTTCTGACACTTGGTGAGTTCCCTGGAACACCGGGGACACATATTCATGTATAAAAGACGTCCAAAGGTGCATTTTGCATGATAGGTCCCCTTTAAGTAATGTAATGATGTTAACATGCATAGTCTTTACATTGAATATTGAATGAAGTCAGAGTAATGTAATCCTAGGTTGATAGTTCTATAATGTTAAGTTTATAGACTGAATACTTATATAGCCTTTTAAATCGAGTAATTGATAAAGTAACTGGTGTTTAGCTCCAGAATCAGAATAACTTTATTCGTACAGTCCTTTAAATTGAATAGGTTAATGAGTAAGATTATAATTTACTACATTGATCATACAAATGTATAATGTTGATAATTGATAAATACATACATTTATATTTATATTTTAGGGCCATACTTATATAAAACATGCCTGCGAAGTTTTTTTTTTCAAAATACCAAACAGATCCTGCATTTTAGCCATGCCTCATTTCGCTCCATTTGCTCTTTTTTAGCCCTGTTTTAGCAAGGGCTGAATCTGAGAAGTCTTCTTTGCTGCTTTTGTGGCAGACTACAGCGCCACCTACAGGCCTAGCATATGTACTACAGCGTCTCCAGCGCTTTCGAACGGTAATGGCCGTGGCTGTCTCCTCCTGATGGGTGGATAATTGCCCATATCGGCGGAGCTCCTCGTTCCTGACGTCAGAGAATTTTCAAATCTGTATCAGATCCGTTTTTAGAGATTTGGGTATGGAGGAAAAGAGAGAGGGTTGTGTTTTCTGACACTTGGTGAGTTCCTGACACACCGGGGACACATATTCATGTATAAAAAGACGTACAAAAGTGCATTTTGCATGATAGGTCCCCTTTAACTGTTATACCTTTGGAAAAAGATGCTCAAAACTAGGGCTGCACAATATTGGAAAAAACTGACATTGAGATTTCCCCCCCCTGCGATATGAAAACATACGTTTTTTCCCCCAGAAACCATCCTTTCTTGAACTTTAATGCTTTACATTTGGTATTTTTTTAACTATATTTAACAGGATAATGGATTTTAGTCACGGGCGTCTGGATCTTAATTTATCATAGCAACAAGCTGAGCTAGCTCGGTTAGCAGTGCCGAACTGCCCTGGAGAAACACATGAAACTACTTTATTCAGTGTTTCTACCTTTAATCATCGGGTGCGTTTGCTTTGGAGATTTGATTGCGATTGGTGGTTTGCTGTCACTCACTCAAGTACCCCTGACATGAGAGCCGCGCAAGTTTTCCTTTTGTAGCAAGCAGCAAAATGATTGTAACATGACGTGTTTGAGTTAATTTGCCGACATTTTTATTTTTATTTTTTTTTAAATCGCGCGTCCACGCGATGTGAATATCGTGCATGCGCATATCACGATTATCGTCACAACACGATATATCGTGCAGCCCTACTCCAAACACTAATGGAAGATCAGTTTTTAGGATTGTGATTGACTGCGTAGGAGCCATGAAAAATGTATAGTAATGCCTTTTGTTTTAAAGGGGACCCATCATGCAAAATGCACTCTTGTAAGTCTTTTATACATGAATATGTGTCCCCGGTGTGTCAGGGAGCTCACCAAGTGTCAGAAAACACAACCCTCTATCTTTGCCTCCATTCCCAAATCTCCAAAAACGGGGCTACAACGGATCTGATACGGATTTGAAAATTCTCTGACGTCAGGAATGAGGAGCTCTGTCTATATGGCCAACTCTCCACCTATCAGGGGAATGTGGAGTTGGCAATGGCCGGCCATTGCCGCTCGAAAGCGCTGGAGCTGTAGTACATATGCCAGGCCTGTAAGTGGCGCTGTAGTCTGCCACAAAAGCAGCGAAGAAGAAGACTTCCCGCGCATGGTTGCCCTTCTGTTTATTCTCCGCTGTGGCTCTTTTTCTCCCTCCTGCAATTCAATGCAATCCCTCCCCGTCGAGGCCAGCACTGTAATTCTCTCCGGTTAGTCCACCAGCAGATGACAAACACCCACCTGTCCGCCTCTTCCAAGGGACGAGGGGACCGTGCGGCAGAGTTTGTTAGATTTTTTTGCGCCGGTCAACATGTCCGTTAAAGTTTAAATCTTCCAGACAAAATTAGAAAAGTACCGGTCAAAGTTCTTCTTTGTTATTTACTGAGCTTTAAAACAAATGAATAATGACTATATGATAATATAAGAATAAAACACGGAGGACGGAGATCTCTTTTTCTCCCCCTCTTCTGAGAGCCCAGCAGCTGATCTCAAAGCATGCTCCCCTCTCCTGCAGGGGGGCGTGGTCAGCTGCAGCTCATTTGCATTAAAGCTACGTCACAGAAACAGCCCCTGCAAAATCAGGGCTGGAAAAGAGCAAATAGAACGAAATGAGGCATGGCTAAAATGCATGATGTTTGGTATTTAAAAAAAAAACAAAAAAAACGATATTTATATAGGTATGGCCCTACAATATAATGTTCAAATATAGCATGATAGGTCCACTTTAATATAAGATATTTGTTTGAGCACTATTGATTGGTTGGCTTGGGTCACATGGACACTCATTATAATGCTGTTCACCTGCGTGAGGTGTGTGTGGAAGAGAGGGTGACACAGGGTCGTTTGTTGACCACAAGTTGAAATGATTGCTTTGATTAATATAACAATAGGCGCGTTCACACCGGAGTACTCTTCCCGTTTAGTTCCGTTAGTACCCCTTATGTCGCGTTCACACCAAAAAGAGTACTTGGGGAACTTTTACCCCCATTTTTAGTGCCTGCTGAGAGGTGGTACTCTCCTGGGGGAAAACAGTGCCCCAGTTCTGATTGGCTGGGAGAATTGCAAACCACGCCCCGTAAAACTCTGAAATGTTTTGTAGAGCCACAATTTTATTATCCTTGCATTAGCATTATTAGCATTAGCCCAGCGCACAAACGCAGAGAGACTAACTTATGGCAACACAAAATAAAACATGGGAGCGGTGGCAGGCTTGGATTTTCATCATTTTAGGGGCAAGGCCATTTGGCCTCACACATTTTTTCAGGGCACAAAGGCCATTGAGGGAAAATTAGGATTTGGAGCTTACAAATAAATAACTTCACTTTCTAATGACAAAAAACAAATCACTTTTTTAATATCAATAATCGTATCATCATATAGGCCTATGCCTCCTTAGTATTACCGTATATAAAATGAAATACTTTACTTCGAATAATAATTTGTGTGTGTGTGTGTTCAACTCCTCACAGCTCCTTATATCTGTTCAGAAACTAGACAAAAGTTAAAGAAGTACAAACCACAGACTGTCTGTGTCATGACGAATACAGTCGCTCCTTTAATTCTGTCTTTAGGACGTTGTTGTGAGTTTGGACTGAGCAGCTACAACGTTAGTTCATCCTGATCGATTCAATCTCCATTCACAAAACACGCATTTTAAAAAGGTTTTTCGCCTGCCGTCTGGTCTGCACACTTGTCAAAGCATGGTTTTTACTAGCCGTTACCAGTATTTAGTTGCTTCGGCATCATATTGAAACATGGATTACAATGAAATCACGGTAAAATAGGTTAATTTGGTCGTAGTTGGTTTCCACCACAGTATTTACATGGATATAAGCCCCGCCCCCTCTCCAGCGCGTCCTGTTTGAATGACAGGAGTAAACACAGCTGACAGCCGCGGTGAAACTCCAGCGGTTAGAGCAATGCTAGTATTCGCATCACGTCCGTTGTGAACGCAGCATAATGCAGTTCAGAAACCACTGTTCTGTCACTTTTAAAGCAACTTTTAACAGTGTGAGGGGCCCAAAGGCCATGGTGGCCGTAGGACGTACAATTATTTGTGGGGCATAACGGCCAGACCGAGGGGCTACGACGGCCATGGCCGTCATGGCCGCCGTGAAAATCCCACCCTGAGCGGTGGAGATGAGGAGGTGTCTGCGTTCTGGCGATTTACTCGGAAGGCTTCAGTAGACGCTGCTGGGAGTCCCAGCAGCTTCTACTGAAGGCAGTCCCCAACTCCGGGGACTTCCAGCCCGGGACTTCGGGTGGCAGTATACGCAGTGAAGTTGTTTGCGACCTGCCAGTAAACCCAAAGCAGAAGAAGAAGAAGTGACGTCAGCGGCTTCATTTGCGTAATCTTCCCTCAGGGCGAAGTACTCCGGTGTGAACGCGATCGGCTCTTAGTTCCATAGGGCAACTAAGTGCTGATAGAGGTGTTATGGTTTTATCTTGTTATGCACAATGTTGATTATTCTCTCAGAACCAGCTAAATACATGGGTCTGGGTACAGATCCTCAGAATTGGTTTGGAATCCGTTGTGTCAACTCATGGCTCGTGACACGTCTTGTGAATTCTCCGGCCGAAACTCCAAATAAACCGTCAGTGTTTGCCATCAAAGCTCCTGCTCTCCCCGTGTGTCTCTGGAGTCCTGTTTCCAATTACTTCAGAAGTTCTCTAAACTGGGTAACAGGGGCGCTGCACCCTCTTACTCTCAGCATGCACCCTCATACCAAAATGCAGATTTCCCCCATAAAATGTTAAAGTGATGCCAGAAAAACAATATTTATGTTCATCAAGAAACGGTATAATTACTCCAGAAATATGAACATGGTGTCAAATAGAGCGTCAGGCGGCAGAGACAGCTATTAAGAGTCTAACGAGTTAATACAGAGTCTAAAGAGTGAGAGAGAGTGAATAAAGAGGGAACAGACCTGCTCTGTGGATCTGAAGCTGAGGCTGTAAAACAGCGTCCAGTAGTTTCCGGTGTCTCTCGTTCTCCTGTTTTGAACGAGACAGTTCCTCCTCGTACTTTGCTATCGTTCTTTCAAACAGAACAAAGATGTCTTCAGCAGCCGCAGTGAGTCGCTGCTTCACCAACGAGAGCAGCACAACACTCATGTTTACTAAATCACCACTTCCCGTTTCTCTCACTCTGTGTTGCTAGCTTGTTACCAGCTAGCATGCTAAGCTAGCTTCTAGAGTCCGAACTAAAGGCTTCAGAAGAAAGAGCACAAAGTCAGAGGTTCATCCAGACACACAGACGATGTATGGATGAGCTGCTCATAAAAAATTCCTCAGGAACACCGAGAGAGAACCATGGATGTAGGCAGCGAGAGAACCGAGAGAAGCCACGAGACGCGATCTGGTTCCATGAGAAAGAGTGAGACCATCACTTCCGGTGCATCGCTTCTTCTTCTTCTCTCGATTTAAAGGCGGATTGCATACAACTTTAAGGTGCATAACGCCACCTATTGTACAGAGTGTGTGTCACCATATCATCCTATCACCACTTGTGGAATTATACCAGCGGAGGCTGTGGCGCAGTGGATTATTAGAGCGTTGGTGTTCGGATCAGGCTTACAGGTTCAAATCTCACTGCAGTCAGCATGTTATTGTGTCCCTGAGACACTTCACCCCAAATTGCTCCTGTGGGGATTGCCCGCAGTATTGAGTATGTAAGTCACTGAATCCGTCAGTCCCCAGTGTCCCCATCAGGCTCCACTCTCTATCCTGCCTCTCCGACCCTCTCTGTTTTGTACATGTTGCAGTGTAATATGATGTGTTCCACATTTTCTTTCACTCCACGGAGGAGATGTCGGAGAGAACGCACTCCGAGGTGTGGTTACACTTTACCCGTCTCGATGCTCGTGGACTAAAGTGCAATAAGAGTTTAGCATGTAAGGGCAGTAACACGAGCAATTTGTCTAAACATCTTGCAAAAGTGCACCACTTTCAGACGGAGAAATGCACCGTTTTCGACTGTCTTCCTAGTAGCTCTGTAGCCCCATCCACGAGTAACTTTTCCACGTCAGGTATTATGTATGCTAGCAGAAACACACGGAGTTAACTCAATTAGGAGGACTGTCTGAGGACCACAGATGGAAATGAGCTATTAGCTATAATCTGGCATATTGCATCTCTTCTCTTTGCTGAGATTAATGTTTTGTATGCATGGTTTAAAAAAATTAATTAAAATAAGTTTCAGCTATTCTGTGTAAGAGTTGGTGAGGAGCTGATCATTTATTCCGGCAAATTACTCAGACCTACTAATTGACCTAACCGAAGTTATTGAGTCTATGTAAGTTTGCTGCTTGGCTCAGATCCACCAACATCAGCAAGATCTCACCTCTATTAACTCCCTGAAGAACCAGGTTCAATTAACTGCTGTTTCAATTCAGACGACCCTCTTAATCGGTTTAAGCGATCCCGAAGGATTTTGATATCAGTAAATGAGGTGTGAGTGTGGCAGGGTGCAATGTTACCTTTGAAGCAGGAAAGGAGAGCGCAGATGTCTTTTAAGTTGTTCCAATCCAAAAGGTGGGATCAGTTTATTTGAAGAAAAATAGGTCCAAACTAATACAGGGTTTTTACCTTATCTCGTTACAACATTATAATCATACTAAACATATCATGCTGGGGTTATTTTCTAATCTAAAACCTTAATTCATAGTTCACCCATTAAAGTCTTCCGACAAAATCCAAAAATAATTTCCTCGTGGTGGCGAAGGTTCTCTAATTAGTTCTAAAATCCCGACTCATTTAAGAATAGTAGGTTATATCTCTCACAGGCTCCGCAAATGAGAAAAGATTTTCTGTTTTATATTAGATTTCTTGTTTTATATGTAATGTCTGCACCATGACATCAAGTCAAATTCCTCGTATGTGTGAACCCACCTGGTGATAAACCTGTTTCTGAAGTCTCAGTAAGCAGTGGTTAAGTTCAATGATTAAATCTTCTCTAACAGTTATTATCAACTGTATGCTTTCCAAAGCAGATAGTGAGTCTGTGCATATCACCACCCTATCAGGTCTGACCTCTTCAACCCATTGTAGCCCACTAATTTCTGCGAGTATTTCTGCTGTATAAACTGACAAGTTATTTGACACTCGTTTTGAGATTGATATTTTGAATTCTGGGATATACACGCCTATCCCCACGCATTCTTGGGCGACCCCACTCTGTATCACCGTGCTATTATAAGATAGATAGATAAAGAGAGAGAGAGATAGATAGATGGATAGATAACGTTGCTATGTTTCTTTTTATTAAAAAAATGAAGAAAAACATTCGTGCAAAATCGCAGAGACTAATTCATCAACAATTCTTTATTAAACTCTGATTTTTACAGTAATATTAATAATAATGGGTTTAATTTATAAAGCACTTCATATTTGATTTCAAATCCTGAAGTGGAGGCGTGTGGTGCAGTGGGTTGAGCGTTGGTGTTCGGATCAGGGGGTCACAGGTTCAAACCCCACTGACAAGACACTTCACCCCAAATTGCTCCTGTGGGGATTGTCCACAGTATTGAGTATGTAAGTCGCTTTGGATAAAAGCGTCTAACAAGTAACAAGTAATGTAAACAAAGTAATGAAGTGCTACAAGCAGTACTGATTAACACTGCTTCACATTCATGAATTAGAGTGTTTGTATCAGACCTTCATAGGTAGAGGCTGTCCAGTAGAGCTGATGTTACTCTAGCTATCCTGAAGGTGGCAACAGAGGAACACAGGATATATATTTATATAAATAGAAATAAAGCAATGAAGTCATTAAATAAATAAAGTAACAAATAATATGTAATTTCACATGGAAGTTGGTCACCAAGAAGAAAGGACACAGGGAAAGTGCCATTTGAGGGGGGGACTCGCCAACTATCTGATATTTAAATATAATAATATTTGTAATCCTCTTTTCATACAACTTTATTTATATTTTGAGAACAAGTTTATCCAGCAAAACAAGTGCATGTATTATTTACATGTTGGATTGTTTATTTCTAGTCTTTTCATTTCTCTAATGTTCAATGTCTTGTATTTTTATCCTGCTGCCACACAAACATTTCCCTAGTTGGGATCGATAAAGTACTTCTTATCTCATCTTATGTTATCTTAATAACACGCAGGCCTGTTCCTCCTTGACTGCTATTCGGTGCTTTTATTAACATGCATTGTAGTTTTAGAGGTGAAGAAAGAGACAGGAGCTTCTGAGATCCACGTGTTTTAGAAATGGACATTTTCAAAAACCTCAAATAGACAGTTTCTGTTGGTGAGGAACAAAGTGAGGGTCAGTGTTTGACTGTTAAACTACAGTGTGTGTGTGTGTGTGTGTGTGTGTGTGTGTGTGTGTGTGTGTGTGTGTGTCATTTAGTGTGTGAGAGAGAGAGAGAGAGAGAGAGAGAGAGAGAGAGAGGAGGAGAGAGAGAGAGAGAGAGAGAGAGAGAGGGAGGAGAGAGAGAGGGAGAGAGAGAGAGAGAGGGACCGGTGCCAGCAGCAGGGACCGTGTTGTTAGCATCTGGTTAGCTAGCTGCACTAACGGACACAAGGAGCTGTTTGTTCCACAACAAGCTGGAGGAGAGGTCTCCTCTCAGACTGAGAGGCTCAGGTGAGCTAAAGGACTCTCTGAGTGTTTAGATAGTTCACTTTAGTCTAAGTTATCTCAGTGGGTCTCAAACGGTTTGGTCACAAATTATTCAAAAGATTATTTCCGCGGCACACCTTCATATGATCATTATAGTTATAAAAAAAACAAGAGAATAAAGGAAAAACAGTTATGAAATACTATATGGCAGTAAAACAAGAATACAGTTTGAAAGGGGAGTGATTTGTAAAATATCCTAGAGGAGGTGAGGTCCGCTCTCCACTCCAAAAAATAGCCCTTTACCCCTGCCTATATGCCGTGAGCTGATTATCGAGCCTTCATTGTAACAAAATTCAAAATTCAAAACCTTTATTTCTCCAGGTAAAATCCCATTGAGATCAATGATCTCTTTTTCAAGGGAGACCTGCAGTAACACAGTCGCGGGTGTACTGTGTGTTTGCGTGTGGGGAGTGCTTTTGTGCGTGCTCTATAGTGCCCGTAATAGTGTTCACTGGAGTCCAGCACCCCCACTCAAAATACCTTCCCGCGCCTCTGTGCACGGGGTCAGAAATGTATTCTGGGCCTAAACCATTCAATGCTTTATAAACCAGCTGCAGTATTTAGAAATAAATTATTTGACACACAGGAAGCCAGTGTAAAGACTTCAGAACTGGACTGATCCTCTTTCTTAGTGTTAGTGAGGAACCAGTGTAAAGGCTTCAGAACTGGACTGATCCTTTTTCTTAGTGTTAGTGAGGAACCAGTGTAAAGGCTTCAGAACTGGACTGATCCTTTTTCTTAGTGTTAGTGAGGAACCAGTGTAAAGGCTTCAGAACTGGACTGATCCTTTTTCTTAGTGTTAGTGAGGAACCAGTGTAAAGACTTCAGAACTGGACTGATCCTTGTTCTTAGTGTCAGTGAGGAACCAGTGTAAAGGCTTCAGAACTGGACTGATCCTTTTTCTTAGTGTCAGTGAGGAACCAGTGTAAAGACTTCAGAACTGGACTGATCCTCTTTCTTAGTGTTAGTGAGGAACCAGTGTGAAGACTTCAGAACTGGACTGATCCTCTTTCTTAGTGTTAGTGAGGAACCAGTGTAAAGACTTCAGAACTGGACTGATCCTCTTTCTTAGTGTTAGTGAGGAACCAGTGTGAAGACTTCAGAACTGGACTGATCCTCTTTCTTAGTGTTAGTGAGGAACCAGTGTGAAGACTTCAGAACTGGACTGATCCTCTGTCTTAGTGTTAGTGAGGAACCAGTGTAAAGACTTCAGAACTGGACTGATCCTCTTTCTTAGTGTTAGTGAGGACTCGAGTGTGAGTCTTTTTCAGTCTCATAACTACAGTATGTTTTGCAGTCCAGCTTCAGGTCCAGCTCCAGCACCTCCGACTCCGTCACTGCCGGCACCTGGAGCTCAGGTGAGTCTGCATGTTTACATAATGTAGTTTTTAAATATTTAGTTTTTAAATATTCATTTAAAAAAAAAAATGTCTGTGTCTTTATTTTTTTTTAATATTTTTGTATTTTAATTTTTGTGTTCATATTGTTTTAATGTTTGTATATTTAATTGGAGTGTCTATCAATATTTTATATACATTTATTATTATTTAAAAAATGTGTATATATTTTGTTTTATTGTTTATATTTAATATATTTATTTAGCAAATGCATTAGCTTAGTTGTAGTGTTTGTATATTTATTTTGAATATTTATATATTCTTTTAGGTTTTTTTAAATATTATATTTCTCTTTTTATTCATATATTTTATTATAATTGACTTTATATTTAGTTTTATTATTCAAATTTAAAATGTACTTCCAGTGTTTATGTATTGATCACATGTATGTTTTTTTCTGTCTATAGCCATGTTTACATATTTAGTTGGGAGTGTGTATGGATCGTTTTTATATAAGTATAATTTTATTGTTTATATATATTTTATATATTTATGTTAATTATTTATTTGTGATGTTTAAATGTCTAACTTTAGTCTTTTTTTACATTAGGTTCTAATTTTTGTATACATTTGTTATATATTTAGTTTTATTGTTTAAACTTTTATTATCAACTGTTTAAAATATATTAAGTATATATAAAGTTTTTACGCAGTTTTTTTAATTGAATTTTTAATTTGTAGTTTTTGTATATTATTATTAATTATTATTTGTATACGTATTTTCATCCTTACCCAGGTTGAACCTATATTATTATTTTTGTCGGCAGGTGGAGACTGTGAGCAGGTCAACCCGTGGGACGACCACTGCTCAGAGGGACAGGAACAACCCACACCTTCTGCTGCAGAGACGAACCTTCTGACATCACAGGGACGCCCCGGGACAGAAACAAACACACCTCCAGCTGCAGAGAGGAACCTTCTGACAGCACAGGGACGCCCCGGGACAGAAACAAACACACCTCCAGCTGCAGAGAGGAACCTTCTGACAGCACAGGGACGCCCCGGGACAGAAACAAACACACCTCCTGCTGCAGAGAGGAACCTTCTGAAAGCACAGGGACGCCCCGGGACAGAAACAAACACACCTCCTGCTGCAGAGAGGAACCTTCTGAAAGCACAGGGACGCCCCGGGACAGAAACAAACACACCTCCAGCTGCAGAGAGGAACCTTCTGACAGCACAGGGACGCCCCGGGACAGAAAAAAACACACCTCCAGTTGCAGAGAGGAACCTTCTGAAAGCACAGGGACGCCCCGGGACAGAAGCAAACACACCTCCAGCTGCAGAGAGGAACCTTCTGACAGCACAGGGACGCCCCGGGACAGAAACAAACACACTTCCAGATGCAGAGAGGAACCTTCTGACAGCACAGGGACGCCCCGGGACAGAAACAAACACACCTCCAGCTGCAGAGAGGAACCTTCTGACAGCACAGGGACGCCCCGGGACAGAAACAAACACACCTCCAGCTGCAGAGAGGAACCTTCTGACAGCACAGGGACGCCCCGGGACAGAAACAAACACACCTCCAGCTGCAGAGAGGAACCTTCTGACAGCACAGGGACGCCCCGGGACAGAAACAAACACACCTCCAGCTGCAGAGAGGAACCTTCTGACAGCACAGGGACGCCCCGGGACAGAAAAAAACACACCTCCAGTTGCAGAGAGGAACCTTCTGACAGCACAGGGACGCCCCGGGACAGAAACAAACACACCTCCAGCTGCAGAGAGGAACCTTCTGACAGCACAGGGACGCCCCGGGACAGAAACAAACACACCTCCAGCTGCAGAGAGGGGTATCTGATGTAGCGTCAACTAATTTAAATAATGATTCACTGACAGATTAACATAAAATCATAACACAGAATATAGATGTGTGAAATGGGTTGGTACTACCTTTATTTTGGTATATTTCGAAAATGTAACTCATAATTATTCATAAGAACAAAGAGCAAACATGTTTAAATAAATAAATATACTTCCAGTGGACTGAGGAGGAAGGGTGATCCTTTATGTTATTATAAAATGTGTTTATTTGGCATATAATACTATAATAACTGATATTAAATACATTAATAATTATACATAAGCACTGGATGGAAATCAACGGCAAAAATAGGTAATTAACAAAGAAATCATTTCAAGCAGACTTCCACATGTCTTGGTACTTCCTGTTTAAATGTAATTGCTATTACTTTGCATAGCCTCGCCAGCTTTATCAAAATTTACTGACAAAATAAACAGTTGTTAAGCTTTTAAATGAACTGTTAAGCTGTCACAGTTGTCTGGAGCTGCTGCCGGGTCTGCTTAAAAAAACACAACAACAATCTTTTTATAATTCCCCTCACTGCCTGACCGTAGACACAGGTCCGCACTGTCTGACCACAGGGGGTTAAACAATAGCTAACGTTTATTAGCTAAACAGCAATAAGTGGTGGTGCACCAGGAGCTATAGGGCGGGCCGCCAACAGCAATGTAAGATAGTGTCGGTGTTTCGGGTCGGAGCCGGATCCCAGCTGAACAGCTTGTGGGACACAGCAGGAAGAAGTTTTAACACAGCGAGTCCTTCCTTTTCAAAAAGAGTTCACTTTATTAACAACGATTCTTCAAAAGCATCAGGATGAAATGTAACTCACATTAGCTAGTGATATCAACTAAACGATAAGAGATCAGCCGTTGCTTTTTATTGTTCAAAGGGAGATTCACTTTGGTTTTTATTTTTATGAAGACCGGGAGGGTGTGTGTATGTGTGGCGCGAGCGAGCGAGAGACCTTACGTATTGTTGTAGTTAGCATCTGGTGCTAGCTAGCTGCGCTAACGGATATAAGGAGCTGTTTCAATAAAAACAGAGGAGCAACATTTTGCCGAGCACTTGACTTTATGCAGGAAGCCAGACAGTGGGACATTGTACGAACAGTCAGCACACTCAGCACGGATAGTGCGCAACATGATTGCAGCGTCCAGGCAGCTCCCGTTCGAGCATATGCCTTGAGTTGCACATAGCTCCAACGATCTCACACACACACACTTTGTATTGTATTATTGTATGAGAGAGGTTCCAGGTTGAATTGAGGCGAATATTTGTAATGTTCAGAGGTTGTTGTGTTTAATATTCATGAGAATATTTGTCATTGTTCAAATGATAATAAACACACATATAAAGCATATTTGTCCACTCATATGTTAAGAGTATTCAAAACTTGAAAAATATCTCTCTAAGGTACATTTAGAACAAAATGTGCGATTAATTTGCGATTAATCGCGATTAACTATTTTAATCGACTGACAACCCTAAAATGAACACATAATACAACGCCCACTACACCACTGGATACAAATGAACACATAATGAAATATGACCCCCGGTTTGATGATTGACAGGTCACAGTATAATGGGGGCTCTCCACCCTTACCCACAATTTAAAGTAATTCACACAGACCATCTCCTCTTTGCTCTTCTCTCTGTGAGGAGCAGCAAGTTCAGCTTCAGAACAAAGTGAAACACAAAGAATGGCATCAAATATTATTAATATGTCGGGTAGTAGCCTAATAGATTTATTTTCTTCTCAGAGTGTACCAGAATGCAGGGCCGTCCCTTCCTACACGCAGATCACGTGGGGCCTCATCTTGCGGAGGGGCCCTCAACTGAGCGCACCGTTATGCGGCGCAATTAGTGTAAGCGCGGCACAGTTTTGCCGCTGCGACACGGAGGGCCTCATCATATAACTTTGCGTGGGGCCACAAAATGCCCAGGGATGGCCCTGCCAGAATGCGTAGTTTATATGTTAGCATTTCAAAAAATCTCCTGGGGGAGAATCCCCCCAGACCCCCCCTGCTGGGGTTGGGTTTTCAGCATGTGTGCCTTTTTATGTTATACAGTGCAGCTTTGATTCCATCATCTCATTAAACTTTTTTAAAAGCATACTTTAGTTCTGTGAAGGGATATAAGGGATATATGCACTGTACTTCACTTTAATTGATTTTCTCTGCTGAAAAGCAAATAAGCAAATAAGCAAATGTCGGGTCGCGATTTATTGACAAAGGAAAAAAAGTGCGTCCCGAGGCCTGACCAGTTGAGAACCACTGGTTTAGAGTGTTTAACCGGAATAACAGATCTTTCCAATCACCACTGATTTCAGGATCAGGAGAAGCTAAAGTCATGTTCTAGGCTGGCTCTGGTTCTCTGTCAGTGTCGCCATAAGTGTTGGTTACTTTTGTGTCATTAGAGCACAATGGACTTGTTTCTGTGCTTAATATTTGTTTTAATGCACATTCAGACTTGACTTAGAGCAATGATGTTTTAACACATTTCGAGCAGGTATCGCGTTATACACATTTACTGGGACTACCTCAAAGAGTTTGAACCTAACAATAATCACGGTCTTCAGGGTCAGTTTCTGGTTGTAAATGTCTCTCTGGATCTGAGTTCCTGGCTGGTTCTGGTCCTCCACAGTCCTCTCCATCAGCTTCTGTTTCCAGGTGTTCAGCTGAGATGCTGGCTGGAGGCTCTGCCTCTCTGATCTCCTCAGTTTGAGTTTGATGAAGCTGTGAGGACTGACGACCAACACACTTATGGATTTTGACCAGATATCTCCGGGTGAATCTTTGGTCACAAACACTGCAGCTGAATGGTTTCTCTCCTGTGTGGATTCTCAGGTGGTACTTTAAATGTCCTCTCTGTCCAAAAGATGTCTTACAAATAGAGCAGCTGAATGGTTCCTCTCCTGTGTGGATTCTCATGTGGTACTTTAAATGTCTTGTATGTGCAAAATGTTTCTTACAAATTGAGCAGCTGAATGGTTTCTCTCCTGTGTGGCTTCTCATGTGGTAGTTTAAATCTCCTCTCCGTCCAAAAGATTTCTTACAAATTGAGCAGCTGAATGGTTTCTCTCCTGTGTGGACTCTCATGTGTTTCTTTAAATCTCCTTTCTGTCCAAAAGATTTCTTACAAATTGAGCAGATGAATGGTTTCTCTCCTGTGTGGATTCTCATGTGGTCCTTTAAATTTCCTCTCTGTGCAAAATGTTTCTTACAAATTGAGCAGCTGAATGGTTTCTCTCCTGTGTGGATTCTCATGTGTTTCTTTAAATTTCCTCTCTGTGCAAAATGTTTCTTACAAATTGAGCAGCTGAATGGTTTCTCCCCTGTGTGGATTCTCATGTGTTTCTTTACATTTCCTGTCTGTGCAAAAGTTCTCTCACAGACTGAGAAGCTGAATGATTTCTCTCCTGCACTACGTCTTGAATCACAGACAGGGTCTTGTTTATTTTTCTGAGAGTTTGAACCTGGTTCTCTCGTCTTCTTCCAATCAGCCCTGTCTTCAGTGTCAGGTTCAGAAGAGTCTCCAGGGTTGTCCTCAGTCTCTGGTTGTAAATGGAAATGTTCCTCTCCATCAGCTTCTGTTTCCAGGTGTTCAGTTTGTCTTTGATGAAGCTGAGAGGACTGAGGTTTCTCTTCATCATCTTCACTCTTCACAGGGACAGGAGTGAATGTGGACTTGGTGATATTAGCCTCCTCCAGCCCTTGAAGCTGCTCTCCCTCCTGACTGCTCCAGAGTTCCTCCTGTTCCTCTTTAATGTGTGGGGGGGGCTCTGGGTCCTCCCGATCCAGACTGGAGCTCCACTCCTGCTGCGCAGGGGGAACCTCTTCTTCAACCACCACCAGCTGCTGGACGTCTGCAGGAAACAGGAAACACATATTCAGAGAAACTGTAGAGTATTAGGGTTTAAAATCTTACCACGATTAACACTTCTTTAACTTTGCAGCCATTATCCATTCCTTATTTTAAATGCTTTACCAGATGCCCTGAGAGTTTCAGGACAACAGGTGAGTTAGTACTCTAGCCGATCTAAAACGTAGTTTCACTGCCGCTTAGCAAGGCGTCGGCCGTTCACGGAGTGTGAGGCCTTAGCCTTATAGTTTGTGACCTGTCTGCAGAGTCGTTAACTGAGAACTGGTGTTGGAGTTTCTCAGAGTAGTCGTTTAGCATCTCTCTCCGCCTCGCTAACCCTGTACTTGGACTCATACAGGTGCATCTCAATAAATTGAATATCATCGAAAAGTGAGTTTATATCAGTAATTCAATTTATAAAGTTTAAATGTATACATCACAGATTCATCACACACAAAGTTAATTATTTCCAGCTTTTATTTGTTTTGGCCTTCTGAAAAGTATGTTAATGTTCCTGCTGTCAGTACTTGGTTGGACCTCCTTTAGCATGAATAACGGCATCAATGCGGCGTGGCATGGAGACTATCAGTCTGTGGCACTGCTGAGGTGTGATGGTGTAGTGGACATTTTTATTATATCTTAAACCAAATCCTTCTCATTTCCTGAGATGTGCTGTTTTCTTCTCATACTCTACTGTGGGTTTTATTCCCAAGCGCTTCAAGGCCACAGAGCTGATTTGGCAGACTATGTCGAGGCTACTCCTCTTCACACAAAGTCTCACAAGAACTTCCCTATTCTGAGCTCAAGGACAGGTGTCTAATAACAATATGAGACCGTGTGAAGACAGATATTCTGAGCTTCCCGCCCTTTCTTGTATATAAGCTTTGCTATTTATTATATCTGCGCACACTCCTGCAGACTATTCTATACTCTGTGAGACCTGTGTCTTTGTATTGTATCTTATGTATTTGAATCTTCAAATAAATAACCAGAAAGACAACTCTGTCTGTTTCACCATTTATTTGTTTTGATCACTCTGACTTGTACTCTCCACAGTATTGGGTCTCAGATTTCCATAACAATTGGCGTTGTCGGCAGGATCTCTGCAAGTTCGATTTGGGACACCTACTGACGCTTGTGGTCGAGCGCTCCAGGATCCTCCTCTACCTCTACAGAAACCGTACGGGACGAGAGGACCAGCGCCGGGGGTGGAACCGATTGACTTCACGAGATCCAACGAACTCAAAAGGCTTTCAATACTCGGTGAGATGTACAGTGTCTAAATTGTTTAAAGTTAAACGTAATGAAACTCCATGGCATTTATGAGAGGACTGCTCGAAAGTAGGATATTTGTGATATCCGTCGTGATTTGGGATTACGATCAGTCGTAGCCTGGGTGGTTTACGATCAGTCTTTGTGTGATTTGTACTGAGAAACAAATATCACATCACTGACAGGTGAAAAAAATAGTGTTTTGGTAACACGGGGTGTTTAGGTAACACTTAAAGACTTTGTTATGGGAGCAAAGCAAGTGTTTTGGTAACACGGGGTGTTTTGGTAACACTTAAAGACTTTGTTATGGGAGCAAAGCAAGGTAGGGGACTAGTACACTCTCCTGAGGGTCCGATTGTAGATGACATGCGAGCAAAAACATGGTGAAAACAGTCTGTCTAAAATGTTCGGATTTCCAAAAGGAGGGTTTTTTAAAGTAAATTAAAAATCAAGAACCTAAAGAATAAATTACAAGAACATGAAGATGGAATGAAGGGTACAAATACAATTAAAGTAAAAGACTTATAGAAAGCTGGACACTCACAGAAAGTGTTTATTATACTGGGAGGATGAAGCAGAATGCCGTGAAAGAAGGCAGTTGGCCTTGGGCATTAAAGAAAATATTAAGGTTGAAGATGAATGTGAAGAAAAGAAGGAAAATAAATTATTTCCAAAACCATGTAAACCCCAGACATCTCTGCGTCCTTCCATTGCAGGCCCGAATGACCTCTCCTCGACTCTGGGTATCCTTTCCCTCCCCAGGGGTACAACCCTGGCAATCCGGCTGGCCCACCTCAACCGTCACTACAAGCCTCAGCCATGCAGTCAACTCCAAGCTTGTCCACCCCCATCAGCCCCAAGTATTCCGGGACAACAGCGGGATAAACAAACCCGATACCCTAGGGGACCAAGCAGGTGTTTGGGGGACACACCTCAGTAATGCCTTTCTCAACGGACTCATAGACACAGCGCAAGCTACGCAGAATGCTGGCCGCTCACAATACCGAGGGAGAGGCAGAGGAGGTTCTCCGAGGCAGAGGACGAGAAGCAAGACCTTCATTTGACGAAAGATGTTTCAAGTGTGGCAGTGTTGAACATTGGATTATGGGACTGCTCACAGAACACTGGCAGTGCAGGCAGAGGGGGACAGCAAGGACGGGGCCATTCACAATCAGACTGACCTACACCAGATGGGGAGGAAGGGGCCCGATCGAGCGATACGGAAATTCAGCCAGCAGCATCTAACCAGGGAAGTGACACACACACACACACACATCATGCTATTGAGTAATTGGAAAATGTAGAAGACATGTCTGTGGTTAAAGAGGGTACATATTTGAAATATGACAGTGAATGTTTGCATTAAGAAATGTCCCACACTGACTTTGGCTGTCATGGGTGTTGATGTTACATTTTTGGTTGATTCTGGGGCTACACATTCTGTGGTAAAAAGGGCAGATTTGCCTGATTGCGAATTTAGTGGTAGATTTATTCACTCAATAGGATCTACTGGGGTGACTGTAAAGGAGAAGTTTTTGTATCACTTCAGAGTAAAGATAACGGTGATGACAGTCATTCATTTCCCACATCAGTCAAAAACAGTTTTCTTTTATCATCTGTCTGCCCAATAAATTTACTGGGCAGAGATCTGATTCTCCGGTTAGGCTTAGACCACAAATGAGGGTCTTTAAAGTCCGGCAGCCATCTCCTACGATGGTTAAAAACTGGCATTTGATGATAAAGAACTGGTGAATGTGTATCATGGCTGCTGACATATTCTGATTCTCAGGCGTTGTTGCGTTTGACTGATCAACGTGTTTTTCCACCTGCTGTGTTCATGCAGGCTTCTCATTTGCATTGTACTGCTAACGTTGTTGATGATCCGTGTAAATACTATGATGAGAGTTTTCTGTTAGAATGTGTGAATGATGAGCTCATGCTTAAAACTATGTATTGGAGTTTGCTGCGAGGCGCTGGTTCTGTTGCACTCACACAACACAAACTGTGTCAAATCCCAGGGGCGGTCCACACATTTGACTAGCCAGGGGCCCCACTGATAGATGGAGGGATTTGTCACGTGACGTGTATAAGATGAAAATGTGCACGAACGTAGCCGTTCTGCGCACACTGCTGTTGGTTAAGGATGATGAGGTAATTCTCATAACTCTGAGCTTCCTGCCGCGCTTTCAGATGTGCCATACTCACTCTGGGCAGCTCACAAATATGACGTAGGTTTAATGTCCACGTTCCTGCATTCGGCCAGTGTTTACCTCTCTGCTTAAACAAGGGGTCATTATTCCGTGTAACGATTCCGGTACGCACTCCAGTGTTTCCTGTCAAAAAGATCAGAGACAAACCTCCTGACTAGTGGAGATTTGTCCAGGATTTACGAGCTGTAAATGCAGCTGTGCATGCACGCTCGTCCCAAATCCTTATCTGATTCTTTCCCAAGTTCCAGCCTCTGCAGCATTCTTTACTGTCATAAGATCTCTCAAATGCATTTTTCAGTGTTCCTGTACACAAAGACAGTCAATTTTGGTTCGCATTTGAATATAATGGTAAACCTTACACATTCACATGTTTGTGTCAAGGCTACTGTGAATCTCCTACTGTGTACAACCAGGCATTGTGTACAAGGTTGGCCTCTCTCCAAGTTTCTAAAGGCACCGCTCTCATCCAGTATGTTGATGACCTCATGATTTGCCCACCCACAGCAGAACAGTGTGGAGCTGATACCATTTCCTTGTTAAAATACCTCGCAGCCGAGGGCCACAAGGCCAGTTTGTCAAGACTCCAATATGTACAAAGAACAGTTACATTTTTGGGTCATGTCATTTCAGGAGAGGGGAAAACGCTTTCAGATAAGCGTATTGCATCATTGGCTGCTCTGCCAAAACCTGTCACTAAGCGACAGATGATGTCATTTTGACGTATGTGTTCATAACACACGGCTGTTGTTATGCTTGCTGTGATGTTACATTAGTCCGTTCTCTGCTTGTAATTATGCCGTTACAAGCTTCAAAGTTGTATTTATCATCTGAATTTGCCGAAACAAGTTTAATATTCTGAAAGCCAATACTTTGTTTATTCGAAAACAGATGAAAACAAACTGTCTTTTATACAAAATGGAAGTATTATACAAGTAACACTACATGTTGCTTTAATCCCATGTAATTGTATAATGAACACAGTCTTCCTTTGTATAAGTCAGGTGTCTTGAGTAGTCAAAATTACCTACAAATCATTGTACACATTTGTAAATATTATTTTCCACTTGTTACCATTGTGAGGCTATTTTTTATGCAGCTCTGCGTGATTTTGTAGCTACAATTCAGACTAATACACTACCAGAGGTGGAATAAGTACTCAGATATTGTCCTTGAGTAAAAGTACAAGTACTCAGATCTTGTACTTGAGTAAAAGTAGAAGTACCAGAGTGTTACAGTAAAAGTCCTGCATTCAAAATGTTCCTCAAGTAAAAGTAGAAAAGTATTCTCATCAAAATATAGTAAAGACAGTAAAGTAGTCGTTGTGCAGATTGGTCCATTTCAGAATAATATATATGAGATGTTTTATAATGATTGATCATGAAAGTGTTCTCAAAGCTGGTAAAGGTGCAGCTAGTTTGAATGACTTTGTATACTGCAGGGTAGCTGGTGGATTTACTCCAGGTGGAACTAAAGTCTGATTTAACACTTGATTAGATTTCACATCATTCATCCACATATGTGA